GGAATCCTCTCACATGGCCCTGTTTCTTCCTTTTTTCCAATCCACAGCTACGATGAGAATGTTTTCTTGTGGGACACACGCAGCATGAGATGCCCCACCTCAGAGCTGTCCGTTGGGGGCGGGGTCTGGAGGTTGAAGTGGTGTCCCCTGGACGGGAGCCTTCTGCTAGCAGCCTGTATGCACAATGGCTTCCACATTATTGACTGCAATGAAGCAAATACAGGTATGTCTAGGCTGTGTAAATATATCTTGGAGTGAACCAATATAGATCATACAGGTAATTGAGAAATTCGCTCAACGTACGCAGCATGCAGGGTTGGCCGGGATGATACATTCCCAGCAGTGGTCAAGCGAAAGCACAGGCGCACTGTTTTCTCAACAAAAATTTTACGGGCATAGACAATACTACTACTACTTAAAGCCCCTCTTCACAGTTTGGTCAGGAGGGATTAGACCTCCCTGCAAGGTCACTGGCAGATGGTTATCTCATCAAATCAGCTCTCAATTAACATAAGAAAAGGGCATAATTAATGGGGTATCAACGGGTATCGCATAGGCTAGGTTGGCTGTATAGAGAGCGCAAGTAGCTGTAAGTAGTGCAGTGGCGCTTTAACAGACCGGTGTAAATAGTCAACAACATTAACAATAACTTGAGGATATGTTTTGCGAAATGTATACCAGTATCAGGGTGGTCCAACTGTAGAATTGCAAAAGGAGTATGAACTGACTGATGTGTGTGATTGTGAAGTGCAAAGTTCCTTGCTGTCAGGGCCCAGGAAGGTGTTCGGATGAGCTATGGGATTGTAGATGCTCTTTCATGCAATCTGAACCACCTTTTAAAGCCCCACTGCACTATTTATAGCTACTTCCGCCCTCTATATAGCAAACAATGCCTAATAGGTGACCATTGGTCGCCCATGGTCAACTTTTTCTTATGTTAATTGAGAGCTGATTTGATGAGATAACCACCTATCTGTGACCAAGTAGGGAGGTCTAATCCCTGCTGGCCAAACTAGTGCAGATAGGCTTTAAAGCAATTTTAAAGAAGCTTGGGACTGTGTTTGTTTTTCTTCAATTTTATAACTTGTTGGTGTGCAAGTTTTAAACCCATAGGTGATTCTTACAGCTGTACAATGAAAATTAAAACCTGTCACTGACACATGATAAAACCTCTTGTAGACCATCCTGTTGTAGTCCATTCTGTGATACCACTTTGCAAAGTAATGAACGAGAAAATAAAATTGCTTTCCATTATCCTTAGCCGAGCTGCCCTGATAAGGCACTCTAGCATTCAAGGAATTGTTTCTAACCAGGGTACTCATTACATAACCTGAATGGAGAGGGGCAAATATATATTAATGTCTTGCCAAAGGACGCTAGTGTTGCGGCGGGACTTGACCTGTGAACCATGTGATCCACACTCTGGTGACATATCCACCAGGCCATGACGCTAAAATGTTGATTAATGTTAATACATCATTGAGTTTATGAACTCCGTTTTTTATGGCTGTTGTTGTTTCATTTCTTCATCGTAATGCAGGGAATGGATCCATGTCGGTTATTGCTTCTTACATGGATCATGGATCACTTGCATATGGAGCAGACTGGTGCAGGACCACACTTCAGGCTGTTTCTCAACCTTGCGACACACTACCCACTCACACTATAGGATCACCAGTCCACTTAGACTGTATACCCAGTACAACTCCTTTAACACCAGGTTCAGAACTCTCTCAGAATGAAAGCGCACCACCCCTTTTAGAGAAGGGGCTACCAGTCTCAAATACATCATCTTCTGCCAAGGACTCCATACTTCCTAGTGATCGTCTTGATAGTGGAGCCCATGAGAAAGGATCACCACTCAAAAATGAAAGTATGGGATCTTATGATTGTCATGGAAATTCTGCTCAGGATCAGACCTCGAAATCAGAACAGTTAGAACTTGATGTGAAATTATCAAAAGTGACTCAGGATTTATCCCTAGCTGAAAATATTGACCAATCAAGGCCTATGAAAGGAACAGAGAAAGCAGAATCATGTAACAGACCAGAAGAATCAAGCTATAATACAAATAAATTAATTGGTACATGTTCATTTTATGATCACCATTTTCATCTGTGGACTTGGAATCAAATGGAAACATTATAAAGTTTTGCTACATTCTTATTGTTTATTATATGACAGTTACATACATTTCTTGATTCCTTTTTGTTTTTTATTCTATTATCTTTTTGTCTTCTTTTTGAGTCTTTGCGAAGAATTTGTTGGCCTTCTCTCTTTAAGTACATTTTTTCTCATTCAGATATCTGTCTTGTGTCATCCATGTCAAACTCCCCGCACACTATAAGATCTGATTGTGATCCAAATTTTGACAAATTTGTAATAGCATATAAACATTTCAAGTTATAAAGCTTAATGATTGAGGACCTGAAAAGTGATGAATGAAATCTTAAGTTTAGTGGATTCCAAGTGAGTCCTGGAAAAAGGAACAGCTAAATTGGCTCAGAATCATTGTGACATCAGACTAGTAGTTTGATTGTCTAATATTTGAAGTCTACTTAGCTTCTATTTTATCACTTAAATTTCAGTTGTTAGTATTCCCATTACTCAGAACCTAAATAAAAAAAATGTTTGAGTAGATTTCCATATCCAATACAATTGCTATTTCAAGAAGCGGTGGACTTAACTCGTGTAGATGACTTTTTTTTTTTGTAATCCAAGTTTGGAGAACACTAGAATTTGTGGTTCAGTACAAGAGAAATCAATTGTATGTCCTTGACTTTGCATGATATATCCTGGTTATATTTACCAATTGATCTTATTGAATATTACTGGTTAGACCTCCGACGCCCCCCCCCCCCCCCCCCCCTCCCTGTAAATGCTTGAAAAATATGATTTTCAGTTTGTCACACAGAGTGATAGAATATTACCACCAGCTTCAGGAGAAACGTGCCATAAGGAAAGGTCATCATCATAAATCCCCCTTTTAATACCTGAACCCTCTCTGAAACTTGATTAATTCCCAGGTGGGGCAACGATTTTAGCTGCATGTGTGATAATTCATTGGTAATGCCAAGCAAAAGTGAAATATCATGCATGTGGACTGCTAAAAGTATTTCGTTAAATCATCTGTCTGCCTGTATTTTGTAAATTTTGCTTTTATGTTCTTATCTTTGCTGCAAAAAATGATAGCAATTACATTGATCATTTGTTACCCTAATCATGTTTTCAAAATATATCCATATTAAATCTCTCAATGGAAATTTCAATTTTAGTCTCTTGCCTCCCTGCTGTGTTACATTTTTAGTGTGAATATTGATACCTATTTGATAGCTTTGATTAGTTGGTTTGGCACATGCAGCCCTCCCCCCCCCCCCCCCCCCCCCACAAGAACAAAAATGAAATGGCAATGGCAAGAAATAAAATGTGATTGTACTTGGAAGTGTGAAGAAAAATATTCTCTCTTCCTCAATCGCTTTTCCTCTCACTTCATTTTTCTTGTTTGGTAAATGGGTGCAAAGAGAATCTCCTGTTCAAACATTTTTACATTATGATTGATCGAGATAAAAGATCAACTTTTAAATTGAGTGTTGCATTCCCTTGTTGGAATCTCTCATCCGAAAACTGCCATTCCAGCGTCTAGTGCGTGAGATTGCACAGGACTTCAAGACAAGACAGAGTGTGGAAAATATTTAGCTGTGAAATTGACATTAAAGTAGATATTCATTGAATTTAAAAACTAACTTCATTTTCATTATTGCAAAGTTGAAACTTTGATTCGACAAGGTTATCAAAATTCAATGCTTGGAAACATTCAAAGTAATGATTATTATAAATTTCAAAACGCTTAAATACAACCCCGGCATAGCACCTGAAGAGCTCTCCGAACGCTGCTGGGATGCGTGAGATCACAGTATGGACATGACTTGCACAAGCAGACGATTTCCCATGACATCTCACACATTTTCAGTGCCTGCGTTTTCATCGTCTCTTGAGTTCTTTTTCTTACTTCACTACCGTCAGGCTAAATGTATAATCTATTGCCTCGCTCTAAACCCCGCACATGGTTTTATTTTGATGAAAAATGCAGTGATACAAAAATAAAGGAATCTGTCGCTTGTAAACAAAATAAGATGCCACTGTATATTCAGCTGCACACACCGGGGTATGTTCGGCGTTTCAAGAGGGAACAAATGTCGTCCTTAATATCATTCCGGGGGTTTATCAATTTGAAAGTCTGGTTTCTTCGATTGTTAATTAACCCCTATCCTGTGTATTTACAAGCAAAAGATTTTAGTTATCAGAATCGGGTCATATCCCCTTTTGAATGGTTTGACATGCCATTACTTTTATATACACTAAACTTGTTATAATTTGAGAAATAATAGCTTTGCAATTACGTTCATTCTCTATGGGATGTCGTCTGCTTGGGCAGTGTTGGTCCATATAGTGACGTCATTAAAACATCGTTATTTTTCAGGCAAATCTCTCGTATATCCAAGCTGCTGTGGAGGTGGTTGTATTTTTTTAAATCACCCGGTATGTAGTTGACCTAAAACTTGTCCGATGGCCAGTTTCTAGTGAAACATTAGTTGATGTATTTCTGATTTTCTTTGAATTTCACCTTTAAGAAAGTTGAATTTTGAAATGCCAAAATGAGTGCACTGCCCGGGAATCGAACCCGGGTCGCAAGAATGGGAATCTTGCATGATACCACTACACCAGCAGTGCTTATGACGTATTTGGAGGATTTTTAAGACTCTATCTATGGTATTTAAAAATGCATTCAGTCTCTAGACATTATTTGTAAAATTAATTTTGTATGAAATAAAAGCATAGTGAAAAATTCATTCAATTCTATTCATCAAATATATAAAATATAATTTTAAAAACCCAACAGATAAAAAACAATGCAAAAAATTACCCTAAAAGTAAATAGAAATTGATAATTTTTGTTTATCTTCCTGGAATAAGAATAATATTTATTATTCAATGAGATCGATTACCTAGCAGCTATCGCCTGAAATAGTAAATTTGTTTTGAAACGCGATGCCGAACGTCTTCACAATTTTTCCATTAAAACATGTATAAATTGACTCAAGGCCCAAGCAAGTTCAATGTTTCGAAGAGAAGGGGTAAGTTTACCAGATTTTCAACATTTAAATTCAAACTTTTTTTCTTTTCTAGAGTATTTAAGTGCGATATCTTCACGAATAATTGCGTCATCCAATTGCGCGACGATTAACGCGTGTTACATGAAGCTCAGCGGTCCTCGAATGTGATGCCGCCCCGAAGTTCAGGGCTACGTTTTGGTAGATAGGTCTATACTGGGGTGTCGCGTACGTGTGATTATGAGTGAGACCTAGGCTAATATTACAGTTAAAATGTTGGGGTAGATTCTAGTAGAGTCTATATTCTGATCATAAACACTTTCTTATAATTGAGATTATGTTGACCTCTAGTCTAGATTGAATGAGGTTATCAGAACGCAAGGACAGGTTGTGACAAATGAATGTGATGCAACAGTCACCTGGTCGCATGATCATGATTTGCCATGTTAAAAAAAAAAGAATAGGCTTAGGCTTAGCCAGGGTCTAGGCCTGAGGCGTGTAGCCAGGGGGGGGGGGCGTTAGGGGCCGGGGAACTAAATTCAGACAAGTATTAAGAGTTGAGAACGGTACAACGAATCGTCTTCTTACTCTAATAATTAAATGGAACGTCAAATGATCAAATCTTCCGCAAGTGCGGGAGGGGAAAAATTGAATTCAGACAAGGATTAAGAAGAGTCGAGAACGGTACAACGAATCGTCTTCTTTCTCTAATAAACATCAAAACTTCCGCGCTTTGCACAGGAGAAAGGAAACTCCCCCTCCCTGCCCTGCACGCTCTGTAATTGCATCGCACGCTTTGCGTGCTCACTACCACCCCCTAAAATTAAATCCTAGCTACGCGCTTGCGTAGGCCTATTCATAATCATGTTGGATAAACAGTTCAACTTAAATAACATGAACAAAATCAACTGCTACAAAAGTGTAGTGTTGTGTTGGTACTCGTGACTTCAGCTCCTCTATGAGTCTGACTAGTACCTTTGAAATGGTGTCAATTAAACTGCCTTTGCTTTTTCTGAGACACTCCATATGAATTATGATGCTTTTCAACTTTTCATAAAACTGATTTTATATAATATTAGTAAATTTTTGATAATTAATTGTACTAGTATTTGATGTCTTAGCTTCAGTATTTAATATAGCATTTGTGTATTTTGATGCTGTGAATTTTCACTCCTTTTCTATAAGAAACCATGCAATATCTTTATTTAATTCATTTACAAAAGTTACCTATGTTATTAATATTATAGATAGTGAATAAGTGATGATAACATTGTGCCACATGCATTTTTTCTTTCATCAAAATTCTTTTGTAGACATAACACAAATTTTGCATCATTATGATAACTGTTGGGAACATTCTGTAACAGTGTACCTATTTATTATGGACAACTATCATGAGTACCCTATTTGTAATGCTTATGATTATGAAATATACTTAACATGACTGAGATGATTGAAAATTTGAAATAATGTATGCATGAATCTGTATTTAATTTTTTTTTTTTTTTTTTGTAATATAAAATTCTCATTCAATCTTTTAGTTCTTACCGGGTAAATGGAAAATTAGTAATTTGTTACTTTTTTCTCATTCAAATCACAGGATTACAGCAACCAGTAGATGAAGGAGAAAATGGCCGTAACATGATCAAGTAAGTAAATGCCTAGCTTCTAGACATTTACATGTACATGTACATACGTGAATCTAAACAGAACATCTATTCAGCTATGTTTACAAGCTTACTATTTGGTTACACATATATTCTATCTCCCCCCCCCCCCCCCCTCTCTCTCTCTCCCTCTCTCTTGTTGCCTGTAAAATGACTGGTTCATTTGCAAACAAACTAGGTTCTCCACAATTCATTTTGACTTTTTATGTTTTGCAGTTATTGTAAATGAAGTTATGTCCAGCACGATTTTTTTCCTTGATTTTTGTTATTTCTATTAACATGAATGCCTCTACCGGTACTTTATGCTAATGTACCAGTACCTTTTTTCAAATGTACAAAGTACATCCTGAAGTTTTACTGTGCAATGAAATTCTCAAAGTGGCCAGGTGTTGCACTTCAGTTTTACAACTACACTGTAAGCCACTTCAATTCCATGGAGTTTGTGTTTGGACTCTTCACACACGCACAAATGATTTGAAACACGTGGTTGCATGTAATGAACATGTGTGTGTACATGTACATGTGCAATTTGTCACGTGTTGGTAATGCAGCCACCTGTCTGTTAGTTACCCGTACAAGGGCAGCAGTGGGGTAAAAGGATGTGGTCCATTATTGTATTCCCTCGGGAGGGAGCTGGTAAAGCATACCGATCTTAATCATTGTAAACTGCTTAAAACAACTACATGAACATCCTTTGTTCTCCTCTATTCTGCAGTCTTTCACATTTTCACATTATTTTGTTTCTCTGTTATCCTTAGAATGTACCGATCACTGCAATGTATCTCTTCGTAGAATTTATTTTCAAACTTTCAAAGCTCATATTTTGAATGTAGTATTATAGCATTATGGAATGCAAAACATATTTTGGTGATTTGTACACTTGAAATTTGATTGGAATGAAATATGTTAAATTAGTCTAAAATTAGTCTGATATTGTTGTACTTGCCTCAAAGACAAGCATTCCACATTTTGTGGTTTGGCTCATTAACTTTTTATTCAGAGCCCTAAAAATATGCCAGGGACCTGTTTCATAAAACTATATTTAAATAACAAGTTACAATTACTGTAATATAAGCTGCTGAAATCATGGCATCTGATTGGCTGAGGGAAAAATTGTCATTTAAATTTAGCATAATTTGTTATTGAAAACAAGTTTTATGAAACAGGCCCCTGATGCATGAAAAGAAAGGGCAAACATTTCAGCACATATTGTGTCCATTTTTGTTTTATTACCACATTGCAGTTGATATCAGAAATAGTGAAAAGGATAGTCTGTCTAAAATCCTTTAATTTGGGAACACATTAAAAACAAAGTTCAAAATCATTCTTTTTGATCAAAATTGGGAAACTTTTTAATGACAACAGTATCCATTTATCTTTGTTATTGTTCGTACATGTATTTATAGAATTTTATTCTTGTGGTTGTTTCATGTCTACGGTAAAATGTGTGTGATTGTCATTTCTAGCCCACAGACTTCACCTAGACCTTCCTTTAGTAGTGCTGTTATATCAGGCCGTAAAAAGGATCACCACTCAAAACTACCAGGGCTTTCTGTCGACCACTTTGGACGAGACCACTATGAACTAGTCAAGATGTTGAATACAGGTTGGTAAAACACTTGGTATGAATTATCTGTCACCTTGTCTCAATAAAAACATATAGGTTTCAGATTTATCATTAAACTTTTGTTGCTATCTTTATCATAATGATTGTTATAAAAAGCCTTCAGGTAATCTTTTTTATGATAAATATTGTGTGCATGTGTGATTGACATTGTAAAACAATTTTTTTCACAGGCTGCTTGTTAAAGTATGATTTTGAAATGTAACATGGAGAAAGCATTCTAGAGATAATGTTTGGATAAGTAGTTACAGTACATGTTAATGTGTATGTGTGATTTAGATCATGTACATATTGAATACTGTTAATAAAATGGATTTTTTTTTTAAAGCATTGTGATTGTGATAAATCATTTTCTTCTCTTCTATTATAGATTTTACACATGTATTTAACTTGGCAAAAATTGTTTAATCTCAACATGTGATTGGTTTTTTCAACCATTATTATCTTTAAAGCTGAGGGAGACCATGTTAGTACATCTAGATAATGTTCAGTATAAACCCTTTGAGTATAACCTTGATTATATAGCCCTTTGAGTTTGAACTGAAAGATATGAAGAGGTTTGTAGTTGTAAAGTTCCGTACTTGTTGAACTTAATATTGATTCCAAAATACCCAAGTGGCATTTATTTACATACAATTGAGTGTTATCTTATTATAGTTTAAAGTTATTTGTGTACATTATTTGTGTACAATGTACAAGGACATCCGTTCTCCTTTCTTTGCAGACAGTATATTATGGGTTTATTCATTTATGGTCTGCAAACATACATTTCATGACATGTGCGAAAATTACAAACATACGGTACACATGAAAGATGAACCTTGCACATAAACTAATCCTTTTTTATTTGGCTACCGGAATACGTTTTAATTTTGTTTTTTTCCCTTTATGTCTGTCTCTATGTCCATCTCTCTCTCTCTCTCTCTCTCTTTCTTTCTACATTTTTTTTTTTTTACCACGTCTCTCTTACAGAATGGGAAATGACACAAAAGGAACTCAATGACTGTAGACAGGGAAGAAAAGGTATTTTTTTATTTTTTTCTATTTGTAAAGTCTTTATAATAATTGATTCCTCTTCTTTCTTTTTTCTTCTTCTTCTTCTTCTCGTTATCATCATCATTATTATCATTATTTACTGCACTAAAAGTATTTTGAGAGGTACATACATTTGATGGATAACTGAGCAGTATGCATCATAAATAAAGAGATAAATGGATGAGATTTATTATGAATAGGGCAAAGCCACTGATAATACAATGTGTTACTAGCATTATCGTGATCATCGTGCCTAAAATCGTGTTTAAGAATAGACAAAACTCAGTCTAACTCCCTTTGTCTAACCTGATTTTCGACAAAAGATTAAATCATTTATTCATATGCTCATATATGACAATCGTACATTGTGTACGATGCATTTGAGGAAATGCGTGCAGCGTTATTAAAATTTACAATGTAACCGACAGTTAAAACTTTATAGATTTATTATAATAAAAGCAATAATAATACTATGATACTTCAACAAGATCAGGAGATTATTGATTTCATTATCATCTTTATTATTATAAACTCTGTCAGAAGTAAATTTTCATATGAATGGGGGGGGGGGTGCCCTTCTTGCCTTTATAGATACCTGTAGAGGTCAAAAATTCAATTACAGGATCTGTAACAATGTAACCGACAGTTAAAACTTTATAGATTTATTATAATAAAAGCAATAATAATACTATGATACTTCAACAAGATCAGGAGATTATTGATTTCATTATCATCTTTATTATTATAAACTCTGTCAGAAGTAAATTTTCATATGAATGGGGGGGGGGGTGCCCTTCTTGCCTTTATAGATACCTGTAGAGGTCAAAAATTCAATTACAGGATCTTGGGTGATCATGCTTTATTGCAGATAAGTCATTTGAAGTCAAACGTTTTATATGTATTCAGATTTTATTTTAGTGTCGTAAAATTGGAAGAGAAGTTCCTAAGAACTTGAATGGGCCAATTAGATTTTATGGATAACATTTTATTTGTTTGTTTGACCTTTGTCTGAATATGACTGAATCGTATGGGCTTACAGTTATGTAAATTTGTATTCTTTCATTTCAGGAACGTGTGTAGAGGAATTTGTAGATAAAGAAGAAAATCCATCTCTTAGATGTAAGTATCAGGGACCGTATTCAATACATTACTTTGATAATTTAGCATTTTCCTTGATCAAGTCTTATTCTGATCAAATCTGGGAAAGACATGTACACTTTGATAAGCCAAATATCAGACAATCTCCTTCCTAATTGCCATTGTGACATCACTTGGCTAATCCAGAATAATGGGCAATAAACATGTCACATAAAATGCGCTCTTACAACTGTATATAATTGTGGCCAGCTTATAATGACTGAGTATGAAAAAAACATTCCTGACAATCAAGGCCTCAAAAGTATTGGCTTACATGTAAGTCAGCTATTAAACTGACTTGGCCGAAATACCAAAGTTGGCAAAGTTTTTTATGTACCAGTAAGCTGAAAACTGTGTACAGTACTCATATTTTTTAGATGAGTATTGAATTGAATACTGGCCCAGGTTGTTAATCTGTATGCTTGAATGCCTACCGTAGATGTAGTATATTCTCATTCCATGTGTGCCAGCAGACCTCTGATTAAGGATAACGTTGAGTTCTGGTTGTGCAATTACATTATGAGATAAACTGTCTGGAAGCAATTGGAAAAGGTTGATTGTGTAGTACTCAAGAATTGGGGTATACTTCAGAATCACCCCCCAAAAAAGTATCTGAAATTCTCATACACTGCGCACAGAATTGGATATATGGGGCTACACCTACAGGTGCCATGATCGGTCCGATTTTTAAAGTCATTTTTGTTACATTATGAATGTGAGAGCATTTGAAGAGCAATTCCTTTTCAGGAGACATTTCTTTTGATATTTTTAAAACTGACAGAGAGATCAAGAAAGATCATACATTTTATTCGCCATTACCAGAACTCAACCTTTTATTAATAAATACCCTATTGTCTTGTGATTGTGTTTTATTTCATGAACCTCATCTACAGTGTCTGTTCCATTGAAAATCCAGCACCACTTGCTTTAGAAATAATCTTACAAGCAACGAGAGGGGAGCACTGCAATTGATAAAACATTGAGCAGAGCACAGTCTACAATTGTAGAATAGTTAATTTCCCACTGAGGATGATCATGTGATAATGAAGTAGTAAACCATGGCGGTTTTTTAAAAACAAATGAATAACAGCTGTGCGCAACCAAGGTTCTGTGTGTGCTCACTGAGCTCGCAGTACTATAACATACAGAACTGTAAAGCATATATATTAAATGTATGTCATTAAAGAAGGAAAAAAAGCCTCTGCATATTGGAACGATGCTTTAGTAAATATTTTGTCATTATAAATGAAAGTCATCTCATCTGTTGAGAGCCAGAAGGTCTTAATACTGTATCTAATGATATAATTTAGCGCCCTTCTTGCTCCCACCAAATGATTTGTTTTAATTTCATTTCATCTTTGATTTCTCTAGATTTCAAGCCCTTTGACTGGGACAGCCTATGCCTCACGAGACTAATGCCTGTCATGGATGGAGAGACATAACGATGACCTTCATCCTCCCGTCCCTGTACTATGTCCATCTCCTAGCACCTTTACGTGAAAGGCAGAAAGGCATTAGAAAAATCTGTACAAAGTCTATTACATTAATGCCTTTCTGCCTCTCAACGGACACTGTATTACGAAGCAAGTACACTGGTGATATACTGATGAATTTAGCCCTTTGAAGCGCATTGGTCAGCCTCAGATTTTACTCCGACTCAGGGTCTAAATGATGCCTTTTTATGAGTGGGATGGGTGTGATGTATGGAGTAGCAATCAGAATTAGAGAGATATATAGAGAGATTCTTATGAAAGTATATATATATTTTTTATAGGAGAGGAGCACATTCTTACTGTATGGAAAAAATATATGATAGATTGAATGGGTGTGGAAAGCAGAATGAGAATGTATTCACTTTGAATATGTAATGCTGGAAATTACTTGTAGTTCCTTCACTTCATCAATGTTCTTGGGGAAAAGAATGATGATTGGGGAATTCATTTTGTCAGCTGTCCGCAAAAAGGCCATTAATAAGAGCTATGTATAGGCAATGGCCTTCTTGCGGACAGCCCAACAATTTGCTCTTTGAGAACTTAGCATCCAAGTCGCTTGCACTTTGCAATTCATTTGGCTTGTTAGAATATTGAGCTTTAGTCTTCAAGGGTGTGTGGTTTGAACAGTTCTTTTACCAACTTTGGGGGGTCTCGGGGGATGAGGAAATTTAGTTTCACTCGCATGTGGGTTTGGTAATTGCTTGGATTTTGGTAATATTGTTAGACTTACTTTACTCTCTCATTATTTGGATGTTTTCTTGTGTACTGTTCGTACCCCTCAGCATGAGTGAAATTTTCCAAAAGCTTTGCATCATCCTGTGTTGAGGTGAATTGCCTGCTTGCTTATAAATAATTAAATATCCACTCCAAGATGTTTGAGCTTCACCTAAAAAGCCTTGGCAATAAGTTATAACTGAAGGATTCTGTAGCTCAGTCTTCATGTTGCTCGCAAATGAGTAGCAGTTAACATTTATGTTGGCTTTTCAATTGTACATGTACTACAATTGCTGGTAGTATACTTGAATGTGAGGACCAGTGATGAAAACACGACTACTTGGGAGTAGAAACTAATGTAATACATGTATAATGTAAATACAAGAATTTAAATAGCTCTATAAAACCGAAAAATCAAGAACTACAGGTATGAAAATAATATTGAGGAATGTGGACTTTGCCCTCTAGGAAATATCTGTTTCTATAGATTTTTTTGTTTAAAGACTAATAAAAAACAAGTTCCTGTTAAAAAATGCATTTTCTTTACATTGGTGGAAATATGCTGAACTTCTGAAATGAGAGAGGGAATCTCATGGCATTCAGAGATGACAATCCTTTTGTATTCAGTCAGGCTTCATCGAATGAATGGAACAAACAAAAAATCCTGTATTCAAATGTAAATGGCGAGTCCCCAGTTCTTCCACTTTTTTGGGGTTAGATGTTACCTTTGTATTCTCCTTCAAGCTGTATTCATAGATTTTTGTTTTGAGGATATGCATAGTGACATGCTCTGCAACAATAGGTTGTCATTCTATCAATGAACGTCAAAAAACACATTTGTATTTCAACATTTGCAAATGTTTCAATAAGTGACAAGGCAGAGAATATTATACACTGTACTTGTATTTTGAGGTGCGAGCTGAACCTAGTGCCAAAATTTGCAAGAAATATATCAAAAAGCGGAAAATTTCTTTTTCTGTGTACTGAATTACTGTAGATGACTTTTAGTGTTTTCATAAGTAATTTTCATGGTGTGCATACAAGTTTTTCATGTTTCTAGAGTGAAGTAGCTACATATTTTACTTTTTGAAAGTTCTTTCAGCCCCCTCCCACCCCCCCCCCATCCGTTGTTGATTGCTGTGTGTCTAGTTCGTATCACTGCTTCATGCATATACAGTTAACAACTAAATTATTCATACTCCTTTAAAGGTAAAGACCAGTTATGGTCATGCGATTGCATTGTGAAAGAAACGTTGTGGAATCGATCAGAAAAGGTTGATCATCTAGCATCTAGCATCTGCAAGATTCTGGAATCATCAAAATGATAAGAAATTTGGCCCATTCTTCGTAAAGTTACAAGCACTATACACAGAAAGATGTATATGGGACTACCCTATATCTCTCACAGACCATGAGAGAAACAAATTTACCAAATATATGAATTAGTAGGCGGTTTCCCGGCAAATTTGTTATCATCATGTATTAGTCAAAACATATTCTTTCACATGATTGGTAATGAGAGCTTCCATTTCATTTTTTGAAATTGGGGCGTTTCCAATACTGGTCTTTACCTTTAAGAAACATTGATCAGGACAAAATCAATTTTTCACAAACTTTAACAAGTACAAATGTTAGGGATATGAATAATCTAATTGTTAACTGTACATGTATGCACTGCAGTAAAAATGTGTGTTCTACATGTAAGATTGTGGGCTGGTAACCTACTGTATTGACCAGTACATACTCTATTCTACATGAAATTATCTACATACTTTCAAGTACTGGATTGAAATAAATATACATATGTAGTTTCTGATTTGAAATGGGGAATAAAGTACAAAAAGAATTCCTAACTGACTACAGTACTTTTGACCTCAACATTGAGATGTTGAACTGACATGATTTTCATAAAGTCATACAGTTTGACTATGCTGTAATATGGAAAAGGTAGCTTTGGTGAACTCTCTTCATGTTTGTGTGATATTGTTTCATAACTGCAACAAACATTACTTACATTAGAAGTGTAATCAGAAAAAAGAAAAAATAGAAGAAAAAAAAAAAAGCAAAGAAAAAAAGAAGAAAAGCAAAAATATAGAAGAAAGGGAAAGACATAGGTGTATTCATATCGAGTAGCACATAGACTAGAATTCATCTTTAAGAGTTATGTGTGTGAAATGGTAACATTATAAAAATGAACTAGTTGGGTTGCCACACTGTGCCACTCCATAACAATAACAGTCATTTGCTTAGAGCCAGAAAGGTGTTGAGTCAGATCCTTTCACACAAGGTCAATGCCCTTCTGGCTCTCAACACTATTTGTACTTGCGTGTGATTGTGACTTGAACTTTTGAGAATATATTTGTGTCTTGTCAAAAAGTGAGCTTTATGTGGTATTCCGGCGTATTGTGTCGTCATATTTTTATTGTTCTGCCTTACTTGAATACCCGTCCCTTATGAAGACAATGTGGGTGCAATTTGAATTCACTTGTGTCAATTTTAATCTATCTTATATATAGAAGAAAGAGTGGAGATTTTACCTTTATATATATATATGAAGGATATAATAAATGAATATAAAACATGAAAGTGAATTACGATGTATATCTTTAGCTTTTTGTGTGACATTTGTAAGTTATCAATGTAAACTAGAAGATGAATAGGGGAGAGAGAGAGGGGGAGAGAGGGAGAAAGAGAGATGGGTGGGGGGGGGGGGTGTTGGTGAGTGAGATAGAGGGAGAGAAAAACATTAACTTAGGACCCAGGGCCTCAAAGTAAGGGTTGCTCCCCCCCCCCCCCTCACCTAGCCAAAAAAAGAAAGAAAGAAAGAAATTCAGAAAGGGCATCCTTTCCAAGCTGCCACTTTCTCTCATTATGATTCCATTTTAACCATATGCCCGTATCATCCTTTTACAAAACGAAGGGAAGACATATATTACTGGAAGCTGTGGTGACAATTCCGTTTGGACTCTGGGACATTTTCTGTCTGATCTTTTTTCTTCCTCGAATACAATCATTATTTTTGAGCTAGAGAATATCCACAAATGGAAGAAAAAATTGAAACATTTTCAGATATTACCTAAGAGAGAAAAAAAGGAAAGGAAGAAGGAAAAAAAGGTCATAATTTTGAAGGTGAAGGGTATCTTTGGAGTTGTGAAGCCTACTTGTGGTGTCCCACTTGGGAGAAGGGGGGGGGGTGTACCCTATTTTTGTCAGTGCATTATCTAGGTGACAGATTCCAGAAACATTCCTCAACAAATGTGGGTGTTCCAAAGCGTATCCCTCCTTCAAAAAATTAATTGATTTATTCTGGTAAACTCTTACAAGCTTATCCAAACAATGTCATAATCATGATATGATGATTTAAAAAAAAAATAACACTACTAAAACTGCTCCTGTTACTGATAATAATAATAATAATAATAATAATGATACTCATAATGATAATAATAATAACAATAATGATACTAATAATACAAAATAATAATACTACTATTGTAACTAATAATACTACTAATAACAAATTATGATAACCATATAAATAATAATAAAATAATGAAGGTTTTGGGGGGGGTTATCCTTTGGCGTTCCATAAATGTAAGAAGAATGCAAATAGAGAAGACAGATAAATTCAGCTAAATTTAGACCCAACCTCACCGACGTTTTGAAAGGTAAATATAAAATTTGAATGATTGAAATTTTTGAAATTTGTTTCAAATAGATTTAATTGCTTATTCCTTGCAGTTATTGATATTTGTCGGTGGTTATATTAAGATTGCCCGAGCATAACACATTTTGTTTCTTAACTGCACTGACTAATTGTAGTCCCATACGTTCTACATAGTGTGTGGTATGACTATGTGGTATGGCTGAAATGTGATTGTGAATATTTGCCCCCCACCCCCCGAAAAACAAATCTGTGTGGTGCCTTTTTACTTGTTAAGAGTCGTGTCCCTTTCAGTATGTCCACTTGGTTACTAAAGCCAGAATTATGACCATAAATCACCAAAGGAAGGAGACGAGTTGGCTCAGTCGTAAGCGTCTGTCGAACCAAAGATCCCGGGTTCGACTCCCACCCAGGCGGATGACTGAAGTCTGCGTTGTGTATTAACGTGCCCCTTCCCTTGTTCATAGACACAGGTTATGTCAAGTGGAGAACACTCCGTCCCTCGGATAGGACGTTAAATGGAGGCCCCGTGTACAGGAGAGTCACCACCCTTGCACGTTAAAAACTAGACCAAAAGCTTCAGTCTCTATACCGTCGGTTGTTCCACTGAGACTACGTCTGGCTCCACTAGACCTCCGGTTATAGAGACAGAACGATCGCCTATGCCAGCCTATGTTGAAGATATCACGGCTAGATTTTAGCCGTTAGGCCCCTCCCACAAACATGAACAAACTTGCCACGGCCGTATTGTTATGCCCCCAAAATCCCCCAAAATGTCATTTTACCTCGTGCATATCCAATTTTACATTAGGCCTAGGCTATAATACATCGGTTCCACTTACTAACTTGATTGAAATAATCCGTTTAATGGTCCCTTTTAAGGAAATTATGGGTCAAAATCGACATCCATGTTGAAAATCTTGCAAGCCGTGTTAAACTCTCGCTGCCGTCAATCTCATCCCTTCTAGTCTACGCCGAAGGCAAAATGATTATGAAGGAAAAACTGTGCGCCATCTACACGTTCGTAATGGCGTTATCACAGTTTTTCCTTCATAATCATTTTTGCCTTCGGCGTAGACTAGAAGGGATGAGATTGACGGCAGCGAGAGTTTAACACGGCTTGCAAGATTTTCAACATGGATGTCGATTTTGACCCATAATTTCCTTAAAAGGGACCATTAAATGGATTATTTCAATCAAGTTAGTAAGTGGAACCGATGTATTATAGCCTAGGCCTAATGTAAAATTGGATATGCACGAGGTAAAATGACATTTTGGGGGATTTTGGGGGCATAACAATACGGCCGTGGCAAGTTTGTTCATGTTTGTGGGAGGGGCCTAACGGCTAAAATCTAGCCGTGATATCTTCAACATAGGCTGGCATAGGCGATCGTTCAGTCTCTATAACCGGAGGTCTAGTGGAGCCAGACGTAGTCTCAGTGGAACAACCGACGGTATAGAGACTGAAGCTTTCGGTCTAGTTAAAAACCCATTGCACTATATTTGTATAAGAGTAGGGGGAAACCCCGGTGTAATGGTCCACCTACACACCCACATCAGGCCGAGTATACAGCATCTGCAAGAATCTTCAGTATTGAAGGAGGCAGATTGTCTTGAAGAAGAAGAAGGAAACGAAACGTTGACATTGTCTCATTGTGTCTGTGATTCTGTCTTTTCTGATTCTTTGTTTTCTGTTACAAAACGAAGGAGGGAAGACATATATTACTGGAAGCTGTAGTGACAATTCAGAAACTTGGGGACATGTTTTGTCTGACCCTTTTTTTCTTTCAATACAGTGTTCTCCGTAACATCCTTTTTCCTTTATTTTCTCATGTTTAATATTTATTTATTTTTCTCCTCATTTCATCTATCTTTTATCTTATTTCAGCTATTTTTCTATCATTTCTTATGTCTTTCTGTGTTTTTTCTCTGGTAGTCTTATCTTAGGAGGGCTTGCAGTTTTTGCAATGGAACAAGAACCAAATTG